GATTTAACCCTGTCATGATATTATTTTCCTGTTGTTGCTTCCCTTTCTTCTTCCTCTGTTTAATAGCTTGGCTTGTGTTACGGTTTTTGTCTGTGTGTCCCCCCAAAGCCTCCTGCGGCCCTGGGGAGGGTTTGAATATGGGTGTGAGAGCTGCACCGGCCCTGGAGTGGATAGTTTGCATATGTAAGGGAGAGGAAGGCGTGCTTGGGGCATTCCTCCCCCATTCCGCCCCGGTGTAAGTGAGTTGTTGCTTAGCTGTGGCTGCCGTCCTGAGATGCCACATGCCACTCTGTCTTATAATCCTGCCAAGTACGGATTAAAACTTCCACGAACTATAAGCAAAATAAACCTTTCCTTCCTTAATTTTGGGTGTCAGGTATTTTGTCCCAGCAGCAAGGAAAAAAGTAACCAAGACAGCTTGCCTGGTGGTATACCAGGAAAGACAACTGAGTAGAACAATTATGTCACCTTGGGTAAAGTAGTATAATTAACATTAACAATAGCATCAAACACAGCCTAGAAAATGACGAATTGTGGTAACTATTAATTTGCCACCTCTAACCATATGAACTAGATTTGAGGTTTTATATCAAAATCTAAAACTAACCAGAAAACTGTATACAGTGAACAAGCCCTCAATATGGCAATTTTACTCTAGGGGGAAATGATTTGAAAGGGGTTGTGGTGAAATAGAGAAATAGAAGAAGAGGAAGAGATTAGAAGCAAGGCTGGAGGACAAAGCAGGACAACACAAACTTTGACAATCTGGTGAAGAAGACAGGAGGGAGAGAGAAAAGGAAGAGCTAAAAACAAGAACAGAATAGAATATCAACAACAAAAAAAACTAGGAGCCATGCTCATACTCATATAAAAACAAGAAAAAAAAAAACAAAATGAAGTGAAAGGGGAAAAAAAGGAAGAAAATAAAAACAATATCTACTTCAAGGCATGTCTCTGCTGTCACTAGTGGACATTGTGAGCAGAGTCCAGATCTGAGTTGATTAATCCCAGCCGGCCAGCCATAGCTTTATGGTGGGGTAGTGAATAATCCCAGCAAGCCTGCACCTTTAGTTCCACTGAAGTTTAAGCTGGTTTCTGGTTGTGAGGCTGGAATCCAATTTGTTCAGCCTGTAACGTTCCATTCCACTTCCTGCCAGCTTGAACTCCACTCCTGGCTAGCTTGAACTGAGCTCCCTGACCTCCTACTAAGTTGACCTTGGCAACCTCACCCTGGCACTGGGAGCTGCTAGGTGGAGCCAGCTCACAGCTGTTCTGAATTCTGAGCTCAGTTGGCCCCTCTCCAGGATGGCTACTGGCCCATTGCCCTCTCCTGGGGGACAGCTGAACCTGAATAATCACCAGCCACTGCCGTCCACTGTGTCCACTGCTCCATTTCACTGGTATGTTTCTCCATGGGGTCACCAGTAGTCACCATATGTCTGCAGGTATGAGTTACTCCTCCCATGTAGTGCATCCAGGCTCAAGGAGAAAGTGCCCCCTGCCACCTCCTTCTTTGTTGAAGTCTCTCTCTTTGCTCTCCCTGTGGACTTCAGTTCTCGCTTCAAATCCTAGCTGGGTTCTGGGTTCCCTCCTTCTCTTCCTCACATTGCTATATTCCAGCATCTGGACACCAGATTTTAGAGAGGCTGTATTCTCTGCTGCCCACCACTCTTGTATCTTCCCAGAAGTTGAGACTCCTAGAGAGATGATTATTTCACGGGTGTGCTACACTTAGCAGGGGATTAATCTACTGAAGTTTGTAATGAATATACTATTAGGAAGTAGGGCCAAATTGGAGGAGGTGGGGCACTAGGGACATGCCATTGGAAGGTACAGCTTTCTTTGGCCTTCTTCCCCTGTTCATTGCTTCCTGTCCCACATGAAGTAGCATCATTGTTCCACTATGTCCTTCCGCCATAGTGTTCCTGCCTTTGAGCTAGCTAAAGATTAATTGAAACTCTGAAACTGTGAGTCACATTAAATCTCTCCTCCTTTAAGTTGTGGATGTTGGGTATTTTGTCTCAGCAACAAGATAGCTGACTAATACAATGGTGAAAGAGTAAATGCTTTCCCCCTAACATCAGTAGCAACACGAAAATGTCCTGTTTATTACTGTAGTGGAGTTTCTAGCCAGGGCAATTAGATTATAAAATGAAATAAAAAGCATCCAGATTGGAAAGGAAGAAATTAAACCATTTCTTTTTACTGCTAACATGATCTTAAATATAGAAGATCCTAAGGAATCTACTAAAAAGCCATTAGAACTAATAAACAAATTTAGCAATGTTGCAGGATATAAAATCAATATATAAAAATTAGTTGTATTTCTGTGTATTTGCAATGAACAGTCCAAAATGAAACTAAGGAAGCAGTTTCATTTACAGCAGGGTCAAGAATAAAATACCTAGAATACATTAACAAAGAAGTACAACTTTTATATTCTGAAACCTATGAAATATTGTTGAAAGTAGTTAAAGAAGATCTAAGTAAATGGAAAACATCCCTTGCTTACAAATGGAAAAGGTAATATTATTGAGATGGAATGCCCCACAAAGTGATATACCAATCTAACATAGTGCCTATTATAAGCCCAGTTGACTTCACTTTAGAAATTGGCAAAGTAGCCCTGAAATGTGTGTAAAATTGTAAGGAACCCAGAACAGCCAAACCATCTTTAAAAAGAACAAAACAGAAAGTATCACATTTTCAAAACTTACTACAAAGCCATGGTGATCAAGACAGTGTGATACTGGTGTAAGGATAGACATATAAGTCAATGGAATGTTATTGAGACTCCAGAAATAAAGCCAAAAGTCTTTGGTCAGATGCTTTTCCACCAGAGGGCCAAGACATTGAATGAGGAAATAGTAGTGTATTCAACAAATGATACTGAAATAACTCGGTATGTATTTGCAAAGAATGAAGTTGAATCCTTCCCTCATGTATTAACTCAAACTGGATGAAAGGCTAAATAAACTAGTAAGCTCTTAGAAAAAAAAAACAGAAGGGTAAATCTTTGCAACATCAGCTTTAATAATGATTTCCTAGATATGTCAGCAAAGGAAAAAAATAGCTAAATTGGATTTCAAAATTTTGCTTCAAAAAATACTATCATGAAAGCAAAAAGACAATCTCTAGAATAAGAGGAAATGTTTACAAATTGCATTCAGAGTATATGAAGAACTCTTACAACTCCAGAATGACTGTAACACAATTTTCAAATGAGCAAAGCATCTGAGTGGACATTTCTCCAAAGAAGATACACAAACAGCTAATAAGCACATGAGACAGTGCTTGATGTCATTAGTTATGAGAAATATAAGTCAATGTAGTAATGAGATAGTACTTCATGCCCACTAGGATGATAAGAATCAATAACGCAGGGAAGTGTTGGCAAGGGATAGAGAAAGCAGAATCCTTATAGGCTGCTGATGGGAAAGTAAAATGATGCAGCTACTTTGAAAACCAATCTAGTGGTTCCTGAAAAGGTTATACCATAGAGTTACCATATGCCCTGGCATTTCTATTCTTAGGTACTTACTTGAGAGAAATAAAGACATATTTCTCCATAAGAAATTTTACATGAATTTTTTTGCAACATTATTCATAATACTAAAAAGAAGCCACCCCAGTGTCCATCAACAGATAAAATGTACAGACAAATTGTGGCATATCTGTACAATGGACTGTTCAGCTATGTAGAAGAATGAAATACCGGTATATACTATAGTGTGGATGAACTTTGAAACCATTATACCAAGTGAAAGAAGCTAATCACAAGAAACCACATATTATATGATCCCATTTACTTGAAATGTCTAGAACAGACAAATCTATATGGACAAAGCATAGATTAGTGGTTGCTTAGAGAAATGGTGAGTGTATAATTGGGGATGAGAGTTAACGGATACATAGTTTCTTTTCAAGGTAATGAAAATGCTCTCTGATTGATTGCAGTGACTATTACTATATTAAGTCACTTTCCTATCACTGGCACAAAATACTCAACACCTGCAACTTAAAAGAGAAGTTTATTTTGGCTCACAATTTCAGTGGGTTCAGTCTATGGTTGGCTGGCTTCAAGGACGAAATAGCATGATGGAATGGCATGGCATAGGGAAAGCTCATCATCCCATAGCAACCAGGAAAGCAGAGAGACATGAGGGAAGAGCCAGGGACAGAAACATACCTTTCTAGGTCACACCTCCAGTGACCCATCTCCTCAAACTGGGCTGTACCTTTCAACAGCAGCACACCTAGCTATGAACTCATCAATTAACTGATCCCTTAATAGGTATAGTATCCCCATGATTTAGTCACCTTCCAAATGCTCCACTTCTGAACACATGAGATTTCCGGGGGGGGGGGGGTGGATTTTAGATCTAAGCCGTATAGTTATCTATACCTGTAAATATAATAAAATTCTTCAAGCTGTACATCTTAAATACACATAAGACTCAAATGGTATGTGAGTTATATCTCGATAAAGCTTTTATAAAGGAAGAGGAAGGAATAATCATATTATTCATAGTATGAATCACATGGTATGTGAGTTATATCTTGTAATAAAGCTCTTAAAGTAAAAGGAATAATATCGAGTTACATCTTGATAACATAAAAAAGAACAAAAAGGAGTAATAAACCATCTATAATCATATAACTTATGTCTCCTAGCATTTTTTCTATTCTTTTTAATGATATTTTTCTCATAATTGTGATAATTTTTCATAAGGAATTATGAATATTACTTTTGTGTTTAGCATTCTAACCATAAGTATTTATTCATCCTATTATAGATTCTCCTAATAGTTATCAAGTGTGTAATATTCCATTTAGACTGATCATAATGTAACCATTTTTTCACAGTGGGCATTTAAGCTGTTTTTAATTTTCCTTTCCTACTCCCCATTATAATGAGTACTGCAGTAAAAACACTTTTTATTTTTTAACACTGGAACTTGCCCCTGAAATGCCTGATATGGAATGTCTTTTGTTCACAGGGAAAAGAAGATTTCCCGGAGCAGTGCTCTGAAAGTGTTGGACCATGCCATGATTGGACCAGAGGGCACAGACAATTGCCATAAGTTCGTTGACATTCTTGGCTTGCGAACCATCTTTCCTCTCTTTATGAAATCTCCCAGGAAGATCAAGAGAGTGGGAACTACTGAGAAGGAGCACGAAGGTAGGGTTCATAGGAGGAGTTAGCCTAATTTAAGAGCTTTAGGGGAAATGGGGAAATGAGAGTTACTTGGAAACATTCTATCTGCATTTGGGGCACAGAGAAATTTTGGGCTCTTCCTGAGAGGAAGGATGCTTCCTTTTTCTTTTCCATCTTCCAATTTTCCGTGCATGGCAAAGCAACCCAAAGGCCCCAGGTCACCAATGGCCTTTGTTGCCCGTGTCCTCTGCTTGTTCAAATCCTGGTGGTTTCATTTCCTTTTGGCCTGTTAATAAGTCTGTGTGCAAGGGTTTGTTTGTTTTCTTCACTATAATTTGTAGCGAAGTGTCTCTCTGATGGAGGACCCTTTTGAAAAGAGTAATGAGGTGGCAGCACATGTCACCTGCGGAGTGGTGCTTTCATGTATTTCTGTATTAAAGTATGATTCAGCCAACATCAGGAATTGCCGAAATAAACTATTTACAGCCCAGGTTCCCCTTTTTATGTTTCTCCTCCCTGATGGTGCACACTCCCAACAAAATGCTGCCATGAATTGCGACACTATAACCAGAGTAGTTACTGCTAGGCCAATCTCTTCCTGCTATTGTCTACTGGCCTGCTGCATCCCTCCCCCCAATAAATAGCCGCAGTGCAATCTGGAAGGCCAGGGATTTATGAGCACTGACAGCTCCGCTGGAGGCTAGCAGACACTTGCACTAGGGAATTTACATGGTTGGATGGTTATTTTAAAGTATGTGGGGTGGAGGAGGGAGTTGGAGGGATGAAAAGGTAATGTGTGAGAGAGAGGAGGAAAACCCGAGCTGCTTGGTGAACTAATTTGCTTGTCTTGTCAAAAGCAACATTTGTCTCACCTTTTGGACGGGGTTTGGTGAGGGGGGTTGGGTTTTTTTGAGTTTTTTAACCAGTGATTGGTGGAATTGGCATAAGAATCTGCATTATATTTTTATTCTTCACCCTCATAGATAAAAGTTTGAGAGGTCCTGTCCGTGTTCTCAAATTGGCTTGGCTTTGTCTCCTCCAACTTGGAGTGCCTAGAGGGAAGGTGGCATGACCTGTGTTTGGAGATCACTTCCAATGATAACTGCTGTGATCAAATCAGCTCTCTACAGATAGCAGAAAGCCTGACAGGGGCAGGAGAAACTGGCAGTGTAGGGAGTACAGCAATGTACTATATAGCCTGGAGATCTGAGACCAACTAGATACTTAAGTTTAACTCAGATCAGATAATTGACCAAACACTAGCTCTAAACCTGTTAACCCTACTGCTGGTTTCTTTTTCTTTCCATGGTGTAAATTTACTAAACGCTAGGCAATGAGCAGGGCAGGATCTAGGAGAGGGACAGGATCTAAGAGATAAAATTTTGCAAGTTGTCACCATTTTAGTGCTGCAGACCTGCTGTGTTCCTGGCTTTGGTGCATTATGTGCTGTTAGGCCTCACAACCTATGGAGTTGATGGTAGTATCCTTGTTTTCTCAGATAAGAAAGTCAGCTTAGAAAGGAACTGTCTTAGTTACTTTTCTCGTTGATGAGACAAAATACTGGATGCCCAAAGTTAAGGAAGGAAAGGTTTGTTTAGCTCATAGTTTGTAGAGGTTTCAGTCCATAATCAGCTGGCTCCAAGACAGGAGGGTACTTGGCAGAGAGGCAACAGTTCCTGGTGGCAAAAGACAGCAAAAGCAAGAAGCAAAAGTGGAAACAGAGACAAGAGTCTTTCTGTCCCTTACATTGTATTCAGGTTGCACACCCTAGGGCAGGTGTAGCACTCACACCCATAATCCCAGCATCAGACCTTGAATCAATCACAAACTAGATTTAGCCACCTCTGGAAAGCTCCCTGACAAGGCTGCCTGAGGCTTTGGGGGGACATCCAGATACAAACCATAACAGGAACCAAACCATGGTTCTACAACTAACCAGCATGTGACTTTAGACCCTTTGCTTAGCTTCCTTGGACTGTATTTTCCTTCCTGTTTTGTAACATGAGACAACAAGACTAGCAAACTAGAAGCTCTGATATCCGTTGGCTACTTTAAGTGCATTCCAAGGCTCAGGACCTAATTGTTAGGGTTGCTTCAGAATCCAGGAGATTTCATCCAGGACTGTGCTGTCCTGATGGCTTTTGAGAGATTTGACACTGCATCCTAAGTGTGTTTGACGAGGGTGTGAGGGAAAACAGCCCCTTGCTGACTCTTGCTCTGTGTTCATGGTACTGAGAAGAAGAAGTGACAGACTCAGTGAGCATCTGTTTTCCTTCTGAAAAATGTGCCCGGTGGCAGGCTGGTAACAGTACATTTGCTTTAGAGTACCCACATTAGGAATTTGATAACATTATATTAGTGAGGGCAATGGCTTGGTAAGACGGCTCATAGAAGGCGTGTTTGGACTATAATGGCTGCTGAGGATGAGCTCTGCATCCTGAAGATGCCAGCACCCAGGAGCATGAGGGAACCTAAAGGAGAAAGCACAGCCCTACACCACCTACCACCCTTGCCAGCTGTTGCTGCTGCTGGCACACTGGCCGGGTAAGGTGAGAATGGAGGCAGGGCAGGGCAGGGCAGTTTGGCTTGTCTCCTAGGTAGTCCTGTGCTATCAGCTGCTCTCTGTGCTGGTCCTTCGGTTGTGAGTGTGCCAGGTGTGAGTGCAAAGCCAGAGCACAGAACCCTCCAACCACTAGCAATATTTGCCACTGGGCCCAGTTCATCCTAGGCTCTCAATATGCTCTCTCCTCTGTCCACAGCGATTTTCACTGACCTGGCTGGCTGGCTTCCTTTTAGTCATCTCTCAGTCCTTACTTTAATGTCACTTTCTCAAGGAAACATATCATGCACCCTAAACTAGGATAGGACCTCCTACTAAATGGACTATTGATCCTAAGACTTTGTCTTTAGCACTTGGGATTGTAGAACCAATGGCCTTGTCACCTCTGGCTCCCACTGCCCATCACGTTGCCTACAATGTAGGAATTGCACATTAAATGTTTATTCATTGCATAAATGCGCAGCTACCTCCCTGAAAGACGGTTCATGGAGGACAACTTAGGATGGGGCTCTCCCCAGAACCACACAAGGTTAAAGTCAGTACAGTTGACTGCATTTCTCATTGATGATTGTTAGCCATCCCTCAAGGAACTGATCTTTCACCAAGATGATTTAGAAACAAAAGTGAGTGGGTTTCTAGCCATGTTTGACTTTGTCATATTGGTTTGGTGTTTGCAGCAAAGCTCTTCTTTACAGCCATGCCTTTAAGAACCCTGTTGTGCACAGAATTTCCTTATAGGTAAGGCCACTACCACCTCTACTTAAGTACAGTACACTAGAGTCAGTTCCCCAGTCCAGAAGGCCTACACTTTCCCTTTCCTTTCTAGTCAAGCTTCAGGATCTTGTCATACATTCTGGTTGGCTATTTTAAGTTCATTCTGGTCCAGTCTTGGCCCCTGTCTCCTCTCAGGACCTTCCCCAAACTCCTACAATAGCAGTGTAGCCTGTGGTACAGATGGATCCACTATTGTTCAACTTGTAATCTTAGGCAAATTCCTAAACTCTCTGAGCCTCACTCACCCCATCTGTAAAACAGGACAGGATCTACCACACAGGCTGGTTGTGAGGGTCAGGAGAAATGACATACAGTGGGACCTCAGTACTTGTCACTTGTCGTTAATTGGTTCTATGAGGCCAGGCACAACAACTACAAAAAATGACACGTACTAAACAAATTGTTTTGGCTGAAAAGGGTAGCAAATGATGAGGCAGTGGGCCCCAGCAAATTCTGCCCTGCATGTTGAGTACCAAGCAAGTATGGGGACAAAATTTTCATGGCAAAATATGTTGAGTACCAAATTCGACAAGTTTCAAAGCAGTTTCGTACCAGGGTATGACTGTGTACAGTTGGCCCACTGAATCAGTCCTTTCTGTGTGAGTGGGTTCCACCAACTGTGGATTGAATGCATTCAGCAAAAGAAGAATTGTACCTGTACTGAACCTGAGCAGATTCTTTTTGTCATTATTCCCTAAGCAACACAGTATAGCACTGATTTATATGGCATTTACATTGTATTAGATATTATGAGTCATCTAGCGGTAACTTAAAGTATAGGGAGGATGTCCACTGCTTATTTGCATACACTCTGTGTGCAGGCTAGAACTCCAGTGTCGATTGCCTCACGACTTGCTAGCCTTTCCAGTCAAAACAATTCATTTGGTAATTATCATTTTTGGTACTCATCACACCTCCCAAAACCAGTTAACAAGTACCATGGTACCACTGTACACACTTGTAAGATGTGTCAGTTCTTAGTGTTTGTGTGTGTGGTACTGGGAATTGAATGCTGGACCTTTGTACTGAGCTATATTTCTAGCCTTTTTTTATTTAGTGAAACAGAGTCTCACTAAATTACTCATGCTGGGCCTGAACTCCTGCCTCAACCCCCCTTAATGTTGGGATTACAGGTGTGTGCCACCACATCAGGCTGATGTGTTAATTCTTTCCTCTAGCAAAGCTCTTCAGTTCTACCAGCCCTGGCCTTAACCATACATACTTATCCTTCTTAGAGGTCATGGGGAAGGCTTGACTGTGGAGGGGCTGGGAGAGGGCTGATTGCTCCACTATAACGGTGTGAAAGTGGGCAAACTCCTCCCTGAGGGCAATGTCAGGAGTCATGCCTTGCTAGGTAAGGTGCCGTGAAACAGTTCTATTCCCAAAGCCAATGAAAAGGGTTGAGAGAGGAGAACTTCTAGAATAAGATGACTCTAGAGAGGAGACAAAAAGCAAAAATTGCCTTTATAACCTGGAGTTACTGATAATTTAGTTCTTCTTTTGTGAGTTGGGGTGGAGAAAGAAAAGAATTATTGTAATTGAAATCCATTCAGGTTTGCATAATAAACCTTCAGAAATAGATCAGGGGAGGCACTTAGCTTGGGGGATGGGTTAGAAAGAAATAATTTGCCCTTGGGTACAGTAACATGACTGGCTGCCTCCTTGGTTTTATAAAGAATAGCATAGCATA